GTGGGGGGGGCAGCAGATGTTTTAGCTTTGGATTTTGGCTGGAAAGGGCAATTATGAGTGACCTTAATGATGCTGGCAGACACCCATAAACTTGGTTCAGTGAAAGAGTTTCTCATTAGTTGACTAGTCTAAAAACCCCCCCCCCCCCTTACTCCCCACATCTACAAGCCAGAAAATGTTGCAGTAAGCAGGGAACCAGGTGGCTACGAGTTCAAATCCTGGATTTTATGTACTAGTTGCCTGTGAGGAGCCTATTAGCAGAATGTGTGGAACTGGTCCTGGTCCACTGCTGCATTTGGAAAAAAAAGGGTCCTTCATGTGGGGCCGGTGGCAGTAAAATGCACCGGCGCGGTCCAAACGCACCGACGTGGTCCAAACGCACCGCGGTAATGAAGCCTCTTTTCCATTTTGTAGCGCTGGACTCGGGGCTGGCAGGCTGGGTTTCAGTCTAGGGGAGAGGATTGGACTTCAGCACATTAAAAACATTGTTAAGAGCCCAATATAAAAACAAAGACCTGTAATTTATGTGTGCAATTATCCCACCTTTTTACATATTAACTTCACCGTGCGCCATAAATCCCTGTAACAGCCACAGTACTGGGAGAAAGGCTAATGGTCTCCGGTGGACTTCCTGATAGGTCCAGGGCCGACGGCGGACAAGTTCTGCGCAGGTTAACTGTGGTCCGTTCTCACGCACTTGGCAATGCCCGGTCTTGTCTTCTAGGCTAAGCCGCTGGCATGGGCAGCTCTTGGCACGACGGTCGCTATTGAGTTTTCATAAATCTAGGTCATCCCAGGCTTCCGTCAGACGGGCACAGTGGAAACAGCATAAATGATAGAGTGAACAAAGTGCCGCTCGGCTAAAATGGAAGCAGAAGACCTCGCTGACATCCGTTCAGGATGGACCTCCTGGAACAAGGAAACCAGCGCCATTTTGATAACCCTTTATCGTTTCAACAGTATACCACAAATATATAAAGGCCACCTGGGCAGAAATAAATTACATTTTTTGAACGTCAAAAGAATTTAAAAAAAAAGAAAAGATGAAGACCTTGACTGAGAGCAACCAAAATAGCTGAAATGGGACCTTCCAGGCCTGATTGCAGGTGTGACGCAGCGGCTCACGGCGGCACGAAAATAAAGAAACGTAAAGGACAAAAACCACATTGGTGACCTGCGTCTGTGGTTAAAAAAGAGAAACAAAGAAGAGAAAGATGGCTACAAAAACCAAAGGTCCTCTTTAATTTCTGCATATTCATTCCATAATGAATATATTCAGAACCATTATTTTCTATAATAATACACAAAGGACACATCATTGTGTATATTCTCTCCAAACAATTCTGTTTCCAGATTATCGAATTCATCAGCCAGTTTCCATCATTTTGTCATATTTATATTACAAAACAATGTCAATTAGTTATCCAAACCACTCTCAAAATAATCCTAAAATATTCCTAGGATATACATTATATTATTACCCCACAATGCTGGTCCCAAGCCCAGATGAGATAGGAAATGGGTTTTGCATAGGGCCAGCCACCTTGCCTTGTGAAAACCCATGGTTACTCTAACACCAACAAGAGTTCCTGACACCTCAAGCCTGGCAAGAGAGAGGTCATGAAGTCCTGTGGAGCCATGAGGACAACTACCCTCATGTCATCCAAAACAATCAATCTTCCCAGCAGTGATTGGTTAACAGAAATCTTCACATATTTGCGACACAGAAACTTCCGTAAGGCAAGAGATGAAAATACATACAGAAAACTAAACTTCTGAGCGTAGTATTATTGTAGACATGAAGACTATAAACACAGATAACCACCATAAAAAAGTGTTTGAGCCCGATCATAAATTGACTAGGATTTGAAAGCTAACAGAAATGAAACTCTTCAACAGCTGTGCACAGATGGAGGTGCTTTAGTGGAGAATCAGACCAAGGCTGTGTGTGTGAACAAGTGGCTGCTGCTTAATCTACAGGAAGCAACGAGGAGCGGCAGGAAGTGAGACAGAGGGAGAGATTCTTCCCGGACGAATGCCCAAGACAGCAGCTGAGAGACCACTGAGCACAGCATACCTACAATGGGCACTGGTACGTCGATCGCCCTTTGAACCCCATTCAAAAGATGTCGGAAGCTGGGTTTGAGGCTGGTTACCTGGAGAAGATGGATCTAGATGTGCAACTGAGACAAAATAAAGTCAAACTTTGTAGCCCCAAGGCTGCAGTCACTTGGCAGAGGACTAGCCGCATTCTTTGCCGGCTTCCATTGCCCCCCAAACATGGAAATTCCCCCCGTCTGGCCCCCGACTCTACCCCATGTATGCATGAGCATCGGCCCTTATGTCAGCCAGATGTTGAAAGAATAGGAAAGACTTAAAAAAAAAAAAAAAACGAAGAATGGCACCAAATGTCTCTCATATCCATTTCAATATGGCGTAACACGCGCAATCATATTCAGAGGTTGTTGAGATTCGTTCCCGGAATCTGAATGAAGGAACTTGACTAATTGAACTATAGTAAGAACCTGCATCCAAGATTCATGCAGGTGAGCTTCTCTGCCTAAAGAAGCTCCACCTGATTGCTCCCTTTTCCCTGCTCTACGACGGCATCTGTATAATAAAGCTGACCTCAGCCTGTGATCAAACTGTCCCATTCAAGGAAAGGGCACCTGCAGCCTCCTAACACCTCAATGAGATCGTGGCTATTCTACAGCCCACACAATGGGCGGAATGGACAAGGCAGCGTCTGACATTTTCTAGGAAACAGAATAGTGTGGTATCACTACTGAAAGGAGAAACTCACGAGAAAAGGCAGGGAGAGCGAAAGACGGAGAAAAAGGAGGCAATGTTGCAGCAGAGGAGATATGAATCTGATCACACAAATGGAGCCGTGAATCGGATACACCCCATTGTCAAGCCCCGTCCCCTCATCCCTGGACAGATGGGGAGAGAGGCAGCTTTGCCTCCGAGGAGCAGCGCATAGAATGGCAAGAGCGCAACTCAGGTGTCTGTCGGACAGGAGGAGGGGGAATATAGCTCTGCTGTGTCATTAGAGCATGTGGCTTTCGAGGTCCGTCACCTACATCAGCTTTCCCTCGCTTGGGCACAAACACACAGCTGCATGAACAAGCTGCTCACTGGTTTTATGGTGTGTGTCCTTTATTATTCCTGTCTCTTTCCCTTTTCCCACTAGATATACCCAGATCCCTGTCCTGCAGAGATAATTATTGACTAAAAGGATTAAGATCAACATTAAATGGCATCGGCCACACGGGAGGTAGGGATCAGCTCCGCCAGATATCACCCTGATTAGTTAGGTTTAGACCACATATGAAAAGGAAACACGGCAGCAGAGTTCAAACAGCCTGATCTTATCCAGATTTTCACACTGCAGAGCTTCAGTCCAGGCCTTCCTGAGCCATTAACCCACCTCATAAAGACATGCAGGAAGCTCACCAGTCACCATTGAGCTATGCTAAAGGTAGTCTAGAAACCTCACTCGACCACATAGTTCTGCCTCCATATTGTCACACTATGGATAACGACCAGTTGGGGGACAGCTGATCCTCAAAGCAATGCCATTTGCAGACAGGCATTTTTCATCTCTTACATGCCAATACTCAGCTCCTCCATATTGCAGTTTTGGGGACACAATAGCACTGTGAGCTCAGGTGCCCAACGCTTTCTCTGGGCCTAACAAAGGAGAGGGCAGGCTGTCTATGAGTGAAATAACACTGCAGAGCACAATGCAGTTTCACTGCAGTATTCGTCTCCACCGCAAGGCACACCTACGAATCCAGCACAATGAGCGCAGACAGGGTCCGGCATGGGCGTACCGACACACAGAGCCACAGACAGAGCTTCCCATTGCCTCTTGGGAAAATCTAGGCATGGGGGACTGTAAAGGCAGAGTCTGATGGATGTTTTCACTACAAGACGCAACTTGAGTTGGTTTTATTAACAGCAGAAAAAACATCCTCTCCAGGGATATGGGCTGAGTCTAAAGCTGAGTCTAAAACTTTTGAACATAACTTATGGCGGACAGAAGGCTTGAGCCCAAGGCAGTACTATTGTGAGGAAATCAAATTGATTATTTTATTTATGTAACTCATTGACGGTGATAGAGTTAGATGGTCATATGACTCACTGGCATGATTACCTGTACATGGGGTAATAGGAAAAAAAACTTCAAATTTAAATTTAAAACCTGCAGTTATGGCAAACCATCAGGCTGAAAAGCTGCATTTCATATTTAGATGGTACTACTAACCATAACATAAGGAGGGTCCAGACAGAGAGATGATTTGCTGTGGACTTTCCTGTATCCCTCCCAGCAAAGTGAAGTAGGACGTGATATAGATAGGGCCACAAAGTACGTAAACGAGAGCAAAACAGATCATGTAGATAAAGGTGGTCAAAAAAAAAAGGAAAATAGAATATAAAACGAGAGTGAAAAAGCGAGGGATGGTGGCCTACTTCCAAACTGTACACCAAACTGACCAGCCCGCGTGCGATACGAACGGCCGCCCTTCGTCTTTGCCTGGTCTTCTGAAAAGAAAAGAAAAAAAAGCCAGCGTCACGTCGAGCGGGCGAAATAAATAAATAAATAAACAAACAGCGGCGAGCTAAAGAAAAGTCTCCTGAAAGGAAGTGAAGCTCAAGCCAAGATAACAGCTGCCGCAGATCTCTCTCCTCCTCTCCTCCTCTCCTCCTCTCCTCCTCTCCTCTGTGCACGTTTGTTTGTTTCTGGGTCAAGAAGTGCCTGAAAGACACAAACACACACATGCACATGGGAAACAAGTTAATAAGTAAATAGGCTGTGCCCCATATCTGATCTGGCATCGTTGCAGCATCTGATACAATAATACGGGGGGT